AACCCAAATTCTCAGTCAGACCCCTCTCCGGAATCCCACCAACAACTCTGAACCTAAATTCTCAGTCAGACCCCTCTCCGGAATCCCACCAACAACTCTGAACCTGAATTCTCAGTCAGACCCTTCTCTGGAACCCCACCAACAACTCTGAACCTGAATTCTCAGTCAGACCCTTCTCTGGAACCCCACCAACAACTCTGAACCTGAATTCTCAGTCAGACCCTTCTCTGGAACCCCACCAACAACTCTGAACCTGAATTCTCAGTCAGACCCTTCTCTGGAACCCCACCAACAACTCTGAACCTGAATTCTGAGTCAGACCCTTCTCTGCAACCCCACCAACAACTCTGAATCTGAATTCTCAGTCAGACCCCTGTCTGGCACATCCCCAACAACTCTGAACGTCAATTCTCAGTCAGACCATTCTCTGGAACCTCACCAACAACTCTGAACCTGAATTCTCAGCCACTCCCTTCTCTGGAACCCCACCAACAACTCTGAACCTGAATTCTCAGTCAGACCCTTCTCTGGAACCCCACCAACAACTCTGAACCTGGATTCTCAGGCAGACCCTTCTCTGGAACCCCACCAACAACTCTGAACATGAATTATTGGTCATACCCTTCTCCGGAACCCCACCAACAACTGTGAACCTGAATTCTCAGTCACACCCCTGTCTGGCACATCCCCAACAACTCTGAACCCAAATTCTCAGTCACACCCTTCTAAGGAACCTCACCAACAACTCTGAACCCAAATTCTGAGTCACTCTTCTATTTGTAGAGCAAATTAAAAAGGGAGGGAAAAATCCCAAATTTTAGAGTTGTCCCCAAAACAAGAAGGGGAAGTTTTCCAATATGGAGACCTATTTCAGGAACAAATGTCTAAGCAGGGAATGTCCCTCACATTAGGAGATCTCCCTGTAACTTCCTGTTGTATCTCTGGGACAGGCAGGAAGTGATGGGAAATTTTACCAATAAACCCTTTTCCCTTCTCGGTCCAAAAGTAAAAACAAAACATTTTGGCTACACATTTAATCCCCCACAATTTCTAGGAGACTCTGGCAGAAAGATTGCCACGTCTGGATTCTCAGCTTCGCCTACTTAGGTCGGTCACATTGGTGGATGTTGGAATTTCCAGCGATGAGATCTCAGCACGCAAATTCCCATTACATATACACATCTAGAAAATGATTCAGCCCCCGCAGCATCCACCCAAATCAAAATCAAAGTTTTCGGTGGAATGATCCTTTAACACCTCCACTGTTATGTTTTATGACAAATGGACAATCACCACTCACCTAGTACCCTCCTACTTAACACAGAAGAGCAATAAACGCGGCTTATAAACCCACGCCCAACGGCGTCATGCAAAACCCCCCACCCACGCCGAGGAGACGCAACTTTAAAAATCTGTAATCGGTTTACACAAACATACGTTTACGAGGGTAATGTCACCTTTGATGTAGGTCAGCAGGGAAGCTCATAAAAGGATCCGTTATGTCAGAAGCCAGGTGCAGGGAAATAAGAAACTGACCCAAAGAGCTTACAATTACTATTCCTCTGATTGGTAAATATCTGTGAGTATATAGAGGCCCTCTTGGCGGTAAGTATCTTTTTGCAAATGCCAAATATTGACGTCTGATGTGTTATAATACACTATATAATAATAAAGACACCTTTTCTCTGACACGCCACATACAAATCTAAACACTGGTGCAATAATATCAAAACATAAAATAGAACATAGTATCTTTCTTCCTTCCTTATCTATTATCTATAGTTTACACAGTGCTCAAACCATCTCGAGCATCAAGGAAATCTAAATATGTGTCATTTATAAACACACACACACACACACACACACACACACACACACCTCCTAAACAACGCTGGTATAATAATGCCCCGTATATGAAATAAACCCCCCCTCCCTATCACACGCACAACAGTCTCTATACAGGCAAAGGGCTGCTTCCCCCGTGACCTGACAGATCTATATATCATTATCCATGTACAAGTCCCTTTAATCAAGAGACACATGCCAATCATGCTACATACTACGCCCACAAACTTTAGTAACTGCCCCATGCATGTATGGATATATAGTGTCCCCCCCCCCCCCAAATTTC